AGATGGTCGAGAATCATTTCTCAAATCAAAAATAGAATGTGCACATCAGATTTGAACATTTGAAGAATTCAAGATCAGGGATCAAAATTTGAATATTCAAGAATCAAGATTCCAGTCAGGCAACTGGAGATCGAGATTTCTCTCTAGAGCCCTAAGATAACATATGTTGCATATGCATTTTAGGCACACCTAAGAGCATTGCATCCGTAGCATCACATATATGCATAACTTTTTCAGGTTTTAGGTAGAGTCAATTTCAACTTCGCGGCGAAGGATATTGAACTCAAAGCGACAGGATTTGCTCGAGAGTGGATTTCAACTTCACGACGAAGGATATCTAGCTCGAAGCCAAACTTCTCAATTTCAGAGCCAATTTCAACTTCACAACGAAGGATATTGGACTCCAGACAACGCAAATTCAACTTCACGACGAAGGGACCGCTGCCTGTCAACAACAACTTCTCAATTTCAGAGCCAATTTCAACTTCACAATGAAGGATATTGGACTCCAGGCAACACAAGTTCAACTTCACAACGAAGGGACGGCTGATTGTCAACAAGATTTCGTTCAGAGTCAATTTCAACTTCACAGCGAAGGATATTGGACCCAAGACAGCACAAGCTTAACTTCACAACGACGGGGCGGCTGACTGTCGACAAGCAATTTCGGAGCCAATCTCAACTTCACAGCGAAGGATATTGGACTCGAGACAACACAAGTTCACAAACAATTTCCCAATTCCATAGCCGATTTCAACTCCACGACAGAGGATATCGTGCTACCTTAGACAACACAAGTTCAACTTCACAACGAAGGGACGGCTGGTTGTCAACGAACAACTTTTCAGTTTCATCCGCGATTTTAACTCCACGACGGAGGATATCGTGCCACTCGAGACAACACAAGTTCAACTTCACAACGAAGGGACGGCTGGTTGTCAACAAACATTTTTCAAATTTCAGAGCCAATTTCAACTTCGCAGCGAAGGATATTGGACTCGAGACAACACAAGTTCAACTTCACAACGAAGGGACGGCTGATTGTCAACAAGATTTCGTTCAGAGTCAATTTCATCTTCACAACGAAGGATATTAGACTCGAGACAGCACAAGCTCAACTTCACAGCGAAGGGGCGGCTGACTGTCAATAAATAATTTCCCAGTTCCAGAACCAATTTCAACTTCACAGCGGAGGATATTGGACTCGAAACAATATTTGGATTTCAACTTCATGGCGAAGGATATCCAATTCTCAGGCTCAACTTCACGACGAAGGGGCCCTGTACGATTCCAATTTCTTAAACAGATTGACCCAACTTCACGACGAATGAGTCATCTGTAACGCATCAACACCGAAGTCTTCAGGTCAAGTTTCACCTTCACGACGAAGTATCTTGATCCAGAAGATGATTCAAAGGCCACTCGCCAAAAGCTTTGAGTTCGATTCCAACTTCACGACGAAGGATATAGTGCTCAGAAGCTTCCAGATGAACTCGACTTCACGACGGATGAGTCATCCGTAACTCAATTCGACAGGGAGTTATTGAAACATCATAGTCAATTTTCAACTCCACCGAACGAAAAGTGTGTCTTTCAATCTTTGCCCTATCCCCGTTACACGACTATGGGCAAAGAGGGGCAGCTGTCAACACACCTTTTTCGTCCTACTAGGATTCAAACTCCTAAAAATAGGATAGAATTTTAGGATTCAAACTCCTAAAGATATGATAGAATTTTGCTAGGATTCAAAAAATAGGATAGAATTTTATGATTTAAACTCCTAAAGATAGGATCCACAAACACTATAAATAGCCATTGTAACTCACGATTGACATACGATTTACACACAAAACATAGAGGAAAGCACGAGAAGATACAAAGGCAAAGCTATTGTAAACGATTCGAAAAATAAATAAAAGGTAGTATCTTTTTTACTTTTGATTTGGTCTCTTACATTTACGTTTTAATTATTATTATTTTATTTATTTAACTTTATTTATAAGCACATTTCCCTTGTTACTCACTTTATTTAATTGTTTTGTTATTTTCTTTTTTTCATGTAATATTTTTTTACATTTTATGTATTTTCTTTTTACTTTAGTATATATTTTATTTTTTTAGATTATATATATAAAATATTATTTTTTATTATCAGTTTTATTAATTTATATATATATATATATTTACTTTTTTTATTTTTTATTTATATATATATTATTTTTACTTTTTTTATTATTTTATTTATTTGTTTATTTCTATATTTTTTTCTTTTTTTTTCTTTTCTTTATTTTTTATTTATTTTACTTACTATTTATCTTTGTTTTCTTTATCTTATCTTTTATTTAATTTGTTTTCTCTTTATTTTAATTTGATTAATTTATTTATTTCTTACCTTTTTATCTATTACCTTTTTATCTAACATGGTTTTTTGACCTTCTTAAGGCCACACCTTTAAAACTATCTAAGGTAAGTAATTGTGATCGTATTTTTACCTTTTAATTTTAAATTACAATTTTCTTAATTTAAGACAACCGGCAAATTACGTAGTACCGAAAGGGCGGTTCAAGGGTGCTAATCCTTCCTTGACCGTAATCGACTCCCGAATCCGACATATCTTTGGTAAGATGCAGATCAGGTAAGATATAAGGTATCCGATTAACCTATTTATTTTTTAAATAAATAATCGGTGGCGACTCCAATCACATTTTTCAAGTCGAAGCCCAATTCCGGGGCCCAACCGAAAGACGGTTACGATAGTTGGTAAGGACATTCCAGCTCTCAAGGATAGTATTGAAGATTTTCCTAGAGTTGTCATGTTTAACAGAGTTTCCAACGGACAAAGAACATCAACTTTGAAGAGATTAGCTCTGTTCAGAACGTTTTTCTGTTTTTGAGGATTGTTGAATCCTCTGATATTCCAAAACCAAATTAACATTGGGGAATAGAGGAGGATGAACCCTCTGAATTATCTTCTGAGGTACTTTTGACTTTTAAGATTTGTTCTTTCTTTTTTGTCTTTAGTTCTTTTATTATTTTAGCAACTCCAGTAGCAGCAGTCCTTGTTTTCTTTGCTGGCAGCTCATTTAATGAAGAATTTTCTTCCACTGTTGAGAGAATTTCGAATCTATTTGTTGAGCCTCTTAGAGCAGATTTGGCTTTGATCTTTAGAGGCCTACCTCTACCTCTTTTAAAGATTGTAGGAGTTTCATTAGGAATAAGGGCAGGTTCATGATCACTATCTTGTGTAATAACATCCTTAACTATGTTTTCACCGAGAGGGAAGGTATTATTTTCCTCAATCGAATGATTAGTAAGAGGTGTAGAAGATACAACCTTATTAGGCTGATCCGTATGGTTAGAAGATAATTCTGGTTCTGGACTTGGGTCATAGCTACTTTTAATTTATTTTGGAGTCCAGTAGTCTTTCACGTGTTGGTACTTTTATTTTTTGTCTTTTTGTGGTGGCTTCCACGTCTTGTATTTTTCTCCTTGTGGCGGCTTCCACGTCTTATGCTTTATTTAATGTTGTTGTATTTCTTCTTTTTAAGACTTTGACAGTTCTACTGACTTTTTTGTTTTTTTTCTAATCTTATAACATGTTGTCTATATTCATGATTTCATATTCATCCAAGGATGGTGATGGAGGTGTAGATAATGTCGTGCTCCATGTTGGTGTTCTTTTAATCCCTTCAATTATAGAATAGGGATAGTCTTATATTTCCATATTTGCTAATCTAGTTAGTAGCAATATGGAATTTTCATCAACAATGGTTTTTTTTCTACTGCTAAGCTTTGAATCATTATTCTTTTTCCACCAGTTTGATTATATGTCTTTTTCATTAAGTATTTGTTCAGCCGTGACTTTTAAATCAACTCCTACTTGGATATAATAATAGTCAGGGTCTTCAATACATTTATTGATTGATTGTTTCAATCCTTGGGGCTCTTCTCCTCTTTTTTCAGGATATGTTGATGATGTGAACACGTGCCAAATTTGATATGGTTGATAGAATTTTTTTTCTTCCATCAAATATACCAATAAGACTTTTTATATCGATATAAATATAATAATTTTTGTTTTTCTTTTTTCTTACTAAATCTCTTATTTGAGATTTAATAAAGGCTGGAAAATCTTTTATTAGATGTAAAGAAGATTTATGTACTGATAAAAATCTAACAAACCCCCATTCGATATTGCTTATATCAAAGAGTTTATGATCAAATCTAAATTTTATAATCATATATAATTCTTCTGCAAAATTCATAATTAAAAATGTATGTTGGATATACTTGGAAAGGGCATTTTTAAATTGAATTTGCGTTTTGCAAATTGTTTTATTAATTTTTAAAAATATATCTGCAGATAAAACATGGTAAGCTTTACTATGTAAATTTAATCTATATACTTTTATTAAAATAGGATTTATTTTTCCTTCATCAAAAAAATGTTGACATATTTTAAGAATATTTTTTATCTCATCTTTTGTTAAATGATTTATTTCTAAGATAAATCAATCTTTATATATTATAGACTTTAATAACAATTCTTCAGCTTCGATTATTTTTTCAACTAAAGTTTTTGGAAGTGCAGTAAGGGATTTTTTAAAGTTTATCCTTTGATTCCTAATATGATTTCTTCATACCTCATTAATCAAATTGTATAATTTTATCTTTAAATCATGATTATAAAAATCTTTTATTTCATCTTTTTTGGTTTTTGATTGTTGTGATTTTAACAGTGTTTCAGCCTTTTTATAATTTCAACATAACTTTCTTGATATGCTAAATTTGGATCTTGTGACCACTGCAGTTGGTTTACAAAAGGTCTAAAACAATTACGAATGATTAATCAAGATTTACTAAATTTTAACCAATTAGCTAGGTCTAAAACAATGCCTCCCTTAACAATATTTAAGAGTGATTAATCAAACAATGGTTAAGAGTAACAAAGATTATAAAATGAGCAGCTAGGCACACCATTTTAAATGTCTAACCAAGATTTACGAGAAGGCCAAAAAATGCAAGAATTTATACCCAGTGATCCTATTGACAGCTGCATCCGATGTAGAAATCTCAATGGACTCCATATTAGGGCAAGAAAAGGCAATGCAGGCCAGCATTGTTGCTTCCAAATCCCTACAAAACCCAACAAGAGAAAAATGATAAAACAAGGGTAAACAAGTTTTAGCTCTAATATTTGTTCATAAACTGGTTCAAACGCCTATTGGAATGGTTCTTAATTATAAACACACTGTTGAAACAAAGCTTTGGTCAAACAAGATTGTGTTGCTCTCTGGTTCTAGATCAATTCCCACTTCATTTCACTAGTGATTTTCTGTAAATATGATCAGATTAACTCACATTTCATTATTTTCATTTGATCTCCATGTAAATTTACCGATCCAGCCCATAAAACCCTATACTTCTCTAAATTAGTTCATTTCTTAATGATTTTAACTTTATTTCCATAGCTATAAATCGATCCAGTCCGTAAAGCCTTAGAGCTTTCGGGATTAGTTTAGACTGAGCCTTTCTACTTTAAGAGAAAGTTCAGTAAGGCTCGGACATTTCTGTAAAACCGATCTGATGAACCTCAGTCGAGCCTTAGGTGGGACAAAAAGCCTCAGTTCCTCCTCCACCCTCCATAGTCTCTTAGTCGTTTCCCGCCACCCTTTACACACGCTCCCAGCTGCCAACATCCCCGCCGGCGGTAATCTCCTCAGAATCTCCCACATACACCCGAAGGGTAATCCACCGGGGATTATTTCACTATCCAGGTCCAGATCCCTGTCGGGGAAAGTATTATCGTAGCCGTCTATATCAAGGTCCGACGAATAACAGAGGATACCGATGTCGTCAAAGTCAAGTGAACGTCGGAGATGGGAGTATGGCTGACGTGCGGAATGAGGATGAGGAAGTTTCGACGGCTGGAGTCGAGGTTGGTGTGTGTTGAGAGTTACTGTATTGCATATTTGTGCAGCAGTCCCAGGCGTGCTTCCATGCATGCTCATGCATGGAATGGTTGAGATGGTTCTAGAAATAGTCTAGAAGCTAGTTGGTTAGTATAACAGAATGATGTTAAGCAGTTTTAAGAGTTTTTGTAAAGCTACTATATAAGCTGCTGAAAACGTGAGGCATGTAGTCATCTTGATGATTGAATAAAATCATATGTGCAAATTCTTAGAGTTTTCTTGGTTATTCAACATGGTATTATTCGCCAAACGGTCCTGATTTTGTTTTTTTTTCTTCCGCTGCATGGAGTCCATTAGCTCTATTGTTCTTTCTTTGTATGCTAGTAGTCGTACTACAAGTATTGTGCTAGATTCTAGTGATGGTGTTTTTCATACTGTGTCAATCTATGAAGGATATGCCCTTCCACATGTCATTCTCTGTCTTGACCTTGTTGGTTGTGACCGCACTGATGCTTTAATAAAGATCCTTACCGAGAGAGGTTACATGTTCACCACCCCTGCTGAACGGGAAATTGTCCGTGACGTGAAGGAAAAGCTTGCTTATGTTGCCCTGGACTATGAGTAGGAACTGGAGACTGCCAAGAGCAGCTCTTCTATTGAGAAGAACTATGAGATGCCTGTGAGCCCGACTTTAGTGGCGTCCAGTGGGAATTTTCCCTTAAGTGCATAAGACATGACGTGAAGGAAAGCTTGCTTATGTTGCCCTGGACTATGAGTAGGAACTGGAGACTGCCAAGAGCAGCTCTTCTATTGAGAAGAACTATGAGATGCCTGTGAGCCCGACTTTAGTGGCGTCCAGTGGGAATTTTCCCTTAAGTGCATAAGACATGCCAGGGATGGGAGTAGACACATCAGCACTTGATTTAGCCTTCACAACAGATGTGGCAAGTTCAATAGGATTGCAGCTGGGACCTGATACTGGAGCTGGGAATTCTAGAGATTTCCTTAGTACACTCGATCATATTTAGTGGAATTTCAGCCTCACAGATATGACAGCAGATTTGTCAAACTTGGGAGATTTAGGAGCCCTTGGAAACTACCCTGGCTCTCATTTTCTTCCTTCTGATTCAGAAATGTTGCTTGATTCTTCGGAGCAAGAGGATATAGTGGAGGAATTTTTTGTTGTTGATTCTGTCCTTGGACAGCCATGCTCCCCATATGATGAAGAAAAATCCTAGGCCAAAGTGAGTGTTGTAGCTTATCTTCTTGAAGTTGTTAGGACGGGCTAGAGTTAGATCAATAAGAGTAGGTATTTGACGTCTATTCGGTAGGGGCATTTTGTTCACAAATTCTAGCATATGGGCAGTGTAATTTTAGCTTCATCAATCAAATAGCAATTAGCAAACAGGAATACAACCAAGTGTCCATGAAAAATATATATGTCAAGGAACCTTGTAAAAGAGGATGAAGAAGAAAGAAATGAAGGTGAATAAGAAGAAAGAAAGGAAGCATCGGCACTTTCGATTCAAGTGAACTGAAGGAAGCATCGGCACTTTCGATACAAGAAGAACGAAAGGAAGCTTCGGCACTTTCGATTTAAGAGAACAGAAGGAAGCATAAGCACTTTCGATTCAATTGTTCATCTTTTCATCAAGAAAGTTGAATGTTAGAAATTAGTTGTAATTAGTTTTTTAGAGCTTACTGTAATAGTGTGTTCAATGTCAAAAGAACAGAAGAGAAGAAGAAGCAGGGGGAATGTTGAGAGTTACTGCATTACATATTTGTGCAGCAGTCCCAGGCGTGCTTCCATGCATGCTCGTGCATGGAATGGTTGAGATGGTTCTAGAAATAGTCTAGAAGCTAGTTGGTTAGTATAACAAAATGTTGTTAAGCAGTTTTAAGAGTTTTTTAAAGCTGCTATATAAGCTGCCGAAAACGTGAGGCATGTAGTCATCTTGGTGATTGAATAAAATCATATGTGCAAATTCTTAGAGTTTTCTTGGTTATTCAACAGTGTGGAAGTGGTACTGCCGAGGCTTACTTGACAAAAATGGCCTTTCTTGGGCAGCCCGCAACTGCCACGACGTTTGGCTGGTTTTAAGTCAAACGCGGCGGAGACGGCAGCTGCCGCCAAAACGGATGGAGAAGAAACGTGAGGCCGGGGGCAGTGCATGGCTGTCGGGCAATAGGGATAGAGAAAGAGAGAGGAAACTGAGATGTGAAAATGATTGAAACGAGCCAGAAAAGAGATGGAGCGGAGGATTTGGGTGGGATGGAAAAAATTTGCCCTCTTTATGCTGATGTATGGAAAAAATTTGCCCTCTTTATGCTGATGTGGAAAACATTTACCAATCCTATGAGGTTGTTTTTAATCCAAATATATCTCAGATGATTTTTTATTAACCATTAATTTGTTTTTTTGAATCAAAATACATTTTGTTAAAAGCGTTTATTGTATATATATATATATGCTTAATCTAATTGATAAGTCTTTGGTTGAAATTTTCATTAGTTTTGATCCGACTTTTTATTTATTTATAAACTATACAAGTAATAGGAAAAACAAAAGCTCTAGGTCATTATCTATACATATTTAAAGAATGGTGTGACGTATGATATATGGACCCATTAAATTTCATAATGTGTACACTAATATCATATTGTATAGCATATGTTTACACTGCAATTTGCAACAAGTTAATTATGTAAAATTCCATGGTGTCATTTTCGTACAAAGCTGGCGCTATGTATTACATATTAAACCTCCCCTGCTTTTCCAAGTCTTGCTTGTTTCAATGGCCATTTCTCTATCCAAAACGTTTAGGCCGCCGCGACATCGCCGCCACTTGGAGGGGAACCGTGACTCACCTAGAGTGGATAGCAGATTTAATGGGTTTCCTCAAGCCCATATCTTCAAACTAAATCCCATGCCCGGATTCAACAGTAAAAGTGGAATCAAGCTTCATTGATCTCTACACCAACAAAGACGAGAATTGCCGGTTCTTCAAGTTATCAGCAAGGGAACAAATTTCAACCGAATTGAAAAGATTACTCGAAACGTACAAAGATGAAGAGCTAAGCTTAACGATAACCGGTCACAGTTTAGGCAGCACCCTTGCTATTCTCAGCGCTTACGACATCGTCGAAACGGGTCTAAACGTGCTGCAAGACACGAGAGCCGTGCCGGTGACCGTGTTCTCCTTTTCGGGTCCTCCGTCCTAGGGTAAGTAACATGAGGTTCAAGGAAATGATGGAGTTGCTTGGAGTTAAAGTGTTGAGGGTGGTGAACGTGCATGATATAGTCCCTAATTCCCCCAGTGTTGTTCTTGAATGGAAACGTGCCGCCAAGGTTGATGAAGCTGGCTGAGAGGTTACCATGGAGTTATTCTCATGTTGGAGTTGAACTGGCATTGGATCATAAAAACTCGCCGTTTCTGAAACAGACGGGTGATTTGACATGCGCGCATAACCTGGAAGCTCTCATGCATTTACTTGACGGGTCGGATCCTTTGTGACGATGTCATTTTGCACGATAAAATAAATTTTTTTTCTCAAATAAAATAAAGAAAATTAAATATAGTATAGTAAAAGTAAGAGTCGATCTCATATAGACCAAGGAAGTTAATAAAATTCTTAACTTTTTATTAAAACCTATGACGTGAATTTAAGTAAAATAAATAAAATGGGGGTGTTTTTGTTGAAGAGGAATAATAAAATAGTATAAAACAAAAAAGATTTGAAAGAAGATTAAAGAAAATAGAAAAGGAAAATAAAACTTAAAAAATTGATTGATTAAATCGACCTCGGGGTAATAGCTCTTACTTAAATTCTTCAAATCATCGAAATAGGGATTCACGTCGGTTACATTGTCTGCAATGACAATCCATGCAACTGAAATTGTATACCGAATACCCAAGACTATCTTTGATTCCGATTTTGGAAATTAATCTAGTCAACATTAATTGTTGTAGACCAAGAACTGCTAAGCGCATAAATAAACTAACTCGGATTAGTTATTTTAAGAACCGTCTCCTAGGCATGTAAATGAATTGAACGTTCAGTGAACCGTTTATGAATCGTGCGGCGGGAAGTTCGTTTATGTTCGTTTATTTATTAAATGAACGAACATGAACAAGATTTTGTGTTTGTTTAATTAAATGAACGAACACGAACAAAGGGCTCGTTCGTTCATTTACGTTCGTGAACGTTCAATTATATGTTCGTTCATTTATGATCATTTATGTTCGAACAGAGGACAAATTGAATATGTTACAAATATTATTGAAGTTGTTTGGATTTCAAGAAGATTGTTTTGTTGAACAAATTAACTTTAAGACTTTATTATGTTCATATAGCTTATTTATAGTTTATGTATGTTTTTGTCGTATTCGAACAAATTAACTCTAAAGTCGCAGGCTATATTAAAGAATTTTAAGTTGTTATTCTTGTTGTTTACCTTTTTTACATTCATTTGTTGTGTTCGAATAAGTTTGTTTATTGTGTTTGTGTTGTTCGTTTATGTTCGTTTATTGTGTTCGTTTATGTTCATTTATTATGTTCGTTCGTTTGTGTTTGTTTATGTTCGTTTATCATTTAAATGAACGAACATGAATAAGCTATATTCCTTAATGAACGAACATGAACAAAAAAATTTTTGTTCGTTTATTTTCGTGTTCGTTTATTTACGAACATGAACATACTTCCGTTCATGTGCGTTCGGTTCGTTCTCCGATCTCAATTCCCTCTTTAGCAATCAATTTACTAGTTGTGTTCACAGGAAGTCGAATGTGCTTTCTATAAGCCAATCTTTCCTCCCACATATATATAATCGTGACAATAATCTGAGATCAAAGTCTATCTTTGATTTTGAAAAATTGGTTTGATTCTATAAAAATTGATTTAGAGAATGAGAGAGAAATTCTAAAGTTACTGAAGAACTATGAAATTCTCTCATTAGAATTGTGTCGTCGCTTTTACCCGAGGTTTAAAAGATATATTAGTTAAGTATGACAAAAGTCATTTAAAATTTTTAAAATAAAAACTTGGAAGTAAAAATAACAAAAAAAGTAAAAGAAAGAAATTTTATAAAACTAAACAGAAAGAAAAGAATGCAATGCTTTATTATTTGAGAAATGTTTTATAAAACTAAAAAGTGTAGTTTTCAGTAATGATCGTCCTCCACAAAAAAATGTAAAAATATCTAATTCAATAGTAAACATGGAAAAACAAATAGCATTTAAGCACGAAAACTAGCACAAAATAAACATTAGTCACTTTGAATCGAACGTGATTATTTAGTGTTCCTGCAGGTTTCATTAATTCCGTAACCTAAAAAGGTATCGGTCATTTTCCAGGATTTGAAAACGATGGCATCTAAAAATTGAAAACTACCACTGCAGTCCGGTGCAGTTTCATTTTCACAATAACTATGATAGAAACGAATTCCATTCTAAGGTCTATACCTGCAGGTAACATTTTCACCATAAGGACGATTGAAATGAGTTGTCATTTTTATTAAGCACTGGTCATAATATAATGAGGGTATTATTGTCTTGGGTAAACTACCTATTTGGTTAAGTAGGTGAACTATGTTTTATTCTTTTAACATTAAGATTATAACCGAAGTTCCTTACCAAGGATTCATTAAATATTAATATTTAATCGGCATGCAGATACTATGGGAAAGGCCATAGATTTTTGCTGGCAAGTGGAAGGGACCTTGCTTTGGTGAACAAAGCCTCTGACTTTTTGAAAGATCATTATTTGGTTCCACCATATTGGAGGCAATACGAGAACAAGGGACTGGTAAGGGACCAGGATGGCCGTTGGATGCACCCTGATCGGCAGAACTTCGATGAGCACCATCAAGATACACACCGATAACTCAAGCAAATAAGCTTGGCATCTCGACACTAGAAACTGCTATCTTCTTCTAATTGAAGAGAAAAAAGAAATAATTTCAAAAGCTAATCCCTGGTAAACAACGGCGCACATCAGAATAAGAGACTGCAAACTTGAAATGGAAAGCACCGATTTAGGTGAAGGCTTGAACCTGTGTAGTTTCAGCTGAATCTTCTCCACACGTGCAAACCAACAACTTTGTTTGTCTTTCGCACAGTCTATAAGTTCCATGAAAACTCGATCAGGAAAATGCGTTTTCCATGACATGAAATTTAGGAGTTAAAATGATATTTTATCTAAAATTTGTGGGTTAAATTGAAGATCTACTTATCATCAAACTAGTAAGAAATAACTGTCTAATGATCAAAATATAACAATCGATAACGTAAGTGATCAAAATTTTATATATCGATGAACCAATCGAAATGTAACTTTTTTTTTAAATCAATGACAAAAATAAACAAAACTGAAGCGACAATGATCATTACAGCAGTTACACGCACTTAAACTTCAAAAAACTATTTACTTTTAAGAAGACAATTATAGCCAAGAGAAACAAAATAAAAGGGGAATAGACAATCTTTTGATGAAATAATGAATTCGAATAAAAGATGCATCCTCAGAAATAAGATCAAGTTCCACAACCGAGACTGAAACATCTACATTACATGATAACAAGGCATCCCGTAATAAAAGTTCCTTTAATTCCTACTACATTTCCAGAATGTATGCTTCAACTCAAGCTACTGGAATTGTTATATCAGTTATGTACAAATGAATACTTGCAATGCAGAAACTTGTTTGCCCATAAATCGACTCCATCCCTGAAACGATCTATATCTGAGACACGAATGAAAACTCGATTCGTAAAATCACGGGGAAGAGTGTTAAGAATTAGGTCAAAACAATCATGCGCAACAGGCAGCAGGGTCTTGAGGCAGGAACATTGATAGACACAGATATTACCCTGTATGAATCGAGGAATTCAAGTTGTATGACATGAACTTTGATCACTCACGGATATTACACTGTTGCAAGTAAGGGTGGTCATACTGCAAATGTTTGCTCCAATAGCCTTTGTATTTAGCGATTCCTATCTCCAACCAGGGTTTCATGAATCCGTCATAGTGTATAACTGCACCATTCTCGATATCACCCTGCTCAATACCTGAGTTATAACCTAGCCCAAGTGTATGCCATCTCTTTTCTATTGCCACAGTTTGGTTGTAGAAGGTAATCCAACCTATGGGCAAGCTTCCTGCCTCCCACAATCGCCTCTTACGTCCCTGTTACAGAACATGAGACAAATAAGCCTGACAAATGCACAGCATGTAATATGTTGTATATCTAACTATTATGAATATACCTAACTGCGGAGAAGGATTTTAGGGTCGAATAAGTTCCAACTAAACAGTAGAGATTTTTGTTTGCATATATCATCCACAGGTCACACTAACACAAAGCTGCTGATGCATCTTTTATACATATTGATTATTTTACCAGCAGATCAAACAGACACACACAAAAAGGGGTAAGAAATATGATTCTATATCGAAATTTTAGGCAGATCTTTAGGGAAATTTCATTCGCTTCCAACTGACAAACATAACCTAAGCACCGATAACATTAACCATCTTTTCGAGGAAATAATGTGCAGCTTCAGAGAACTATAGAATCAAAATAAATTCATAAGCATATAATATTAGCATAAAGAACATGCAAATACAAATAGAAATACAAAGAAAGTATAAGCTCATACCAGTTGCAAGTAACTTCGATAGAGCATGCTTAACTTTTTTCTTCTCCATTCACGAAGATCAAACAAATTCATACCAAATGCCCAATTGCAAACATTAGCATTAAAACTCCTCATCAAAAATGGGTCTGAAAAGTTCATTAACATGTGCATTGAACGAAATGAGGTTTCATTTTCCAGACAAGTTTCCACTGCTGCAGCATTTACTTTCCCTTTCATGTCAACGCTCCAAATTTCAGTTAGATCTCTTCGCACTACTACATCATGATCAAAGAGTACAATCTTATTCAGTGCTGGAAAGATGTCAGGCAGATAGAACCGAAGGTGGTTAAGGGCCGACGAGTATCTTGGATCATACGACTTCTGTTCCCTCAAAGTTGAATTATACTTGGTGTACAACCAATCAAAATTATCTGTGCTCTGAACATGTATTGTAGCTTTGCCAGGAGGATTTAATAAAAACCACATTGAAATTGCAGGGAGGTTGAGAGAATCGGTCACCACATGAAAAACAATTTTCTTAGGCTCCTGCATAACCAATATTAATTATCAGGGATATTACATCCGCTAGCAGGTAAAATCAATGGCTCAATCCTGAATTGACTGCATGTAACTCGTCAAAATAAATGCGAGCAATGATAGAAGAGTATAGTATCTTATTGAAGGGAAAATGTATCTGAAGGCAGGATAGGGAAGAGCTCATGGTAAAGAAGCAAAGGTGAATGAACACCATTGCAACTTTGGAAATCTTAGGCCACAAAAACTCATGCCATTATTATTCATTATAATAACTACATCAATTAGTATCAATTGATGCAAAACCGCATAAGCAATGCAAGAATTAACACACAATTTTGTTAAGTGAATGTAATAACAAACACTTTAAATGAGCAAAATCATGTTTAACATCATAACATAAGCAGAGATTCAAATTTAATGAAAGTGATAACACAACAACAAAGACTGTAAAATGGACAAAGGCAGTTCACCTTTGCAGAGGAAATTGTGGAGTTAACAACCACTGAACAAGCCAGAACATTGTCAGAGAAAACTGCATAGTGGTAAAGGTCTGGATCATTCAAATTTTGTTGGTTAGAAAATTGCCTTTCCTCAGGTTGAAGCAAAAAATATTCAGCTGTTAGCTGCATGGAGAGGCAGTGAAGGCCTTTTGGGGTAGTTCTTCCAGCGAGTTGAACAAGATACGACTCTTGATTCTTCAGTATCTGAACTTGATCTTCAGCATTATAAGCCATGGCATGAAGTTTTGTAGCCATCTCAGAGCAGTCAGGGTATACCCGACTTGCTTTGGCCAAAGTAATCTCCATTGATCTCATTTTCTGTGAAACACTGAGAATTTAACCGTTTTCAGTTATAAAGTTCAATTGAAGCAATTCAACCCCAAATCTAAGCTTATTTACTTAATACTAGTCGAGAATTCAAGTTTATAATTGAATATAAAATGCTTTGGTAAAAGTATTATTAGAAAATCGCCCATTTCTTTACCTCCTTGGTAAATCTGAATCCCTGCTGGCTTCATCAACTGCTCGTTCCATCTCTCTGATTCGAGCTCGCAATGATCTCATCAAGCGAGTGTTACTACCTGGTGGTGCAAAACTTAAGTACGCCTTCGCTGTAATGAGTTGATCTCTCATCTGCTTTACCTTCTCATCCACAACACTGAATGGCTGAAACTGCAAAACTTGATCATGACTACCTATTTCTTGATTGGGTTGCTCCTGCAACAAATAAGTTGGTGTCAACCATATGTTACAAAAAATAAATAACTTGACTCACTATTGCTCCGAACATTCTGGAAAGCAACCGCGCTTTACCCCGTCACTGCACATCTATAGTCTAAACTTACATTCAAATGTTTACCGTGTCATGATACTTTGGATTAATACGCACCTTTTCTCTAGAGTTCATTTGTATTATAGTCTGCCGAATTCGATGTTCGTCTTTTCCTTTCTCGTTAGTTTCTGAATTCAGAAAGTGTAGCAACTCACAGTCACATTCGGCTCAGAAAACTATAATTCTATGATAAAAGAAACTACTTGCACCCAAGTAATACAAACCATTTGCTTCGAATAATTTAAAATCATCTTGATCATTCCCAAATCGATCTGAATCGCGATATTCATAAGAACTGCGTCTAACCACAGAACTAAAATTCTGGTCTTTGAAAACATCTAGTTCTGGACCTTTTAATCCTTCGGAAGTTTCCTATGTAACAGAGCAAAATCCATAATCTGTAAGAAACGTGTAAAGATAAAACGATCAAAGCAGAATAATCCATAGGTATTAAAGCTACCTGTTCAATGGAATTGAGTCTTAAAACATCTGCCATATGCTTCTGAATCAAACAAAGCAAAACCCATTAGATTTTAGAAATTTATCCAAAAAGGGAAAAACACATCCAAGGAAGAGAGATCATACAACACTGGGCGGATCCTCCTCAGCAAACTCCTTCAGGCCTGCCGTGACAGGATAAAAAATGCAAACAAAACAAGATCAGTCAACATCAGAAATTTTCAAAAATAAAAGAAGAAATCAAATCACGAAATGTCAAAATTAAATGAAGCGCATTCGATTGGCTGCTAAAATAAAGTAGGAAAGCTGCTAGGAAACGCTCATTGGCTTTCTCGTCTGATCAGCTACTCCACTAACGGTGAAGTAGTTCAAATTCTCACTTCAAGCAATTTAGCTAAACAGATTTGAAAAAGATTACCGAAGGAAGTAAGGGTTTTGAATCTCCAAGAGACCAACACGATTGGAGCGCAAACAGAGAAAGAGAGCAATGAGAGGATCAGAATCCTCTGACATCGATGATTCTTCTTCATCAACAGATAAGAAGAAAAAAAAACAGGAACTTCCAACAGAAAAACAAAATGCAAGATTTGCTCGTTGAGTTCACTAGTGGTCTCTTAATCGTTCTCGCGAAAAACACAATGCACGGATTCAAACGGGCATGGATTCAAACGGGCATGGATTCGACGCTCTGGTAACAAGGAACATGAGTTAAATAAGGAACAGAAGTAGGGTTTTGGGGGGGGGGGGGGTATGCCGCTCTTTCAAAGGGAGAAGTGTAGCTTTCGAGCTTCTTTCACGTTTTTGGATCTCAGTGTCATTCATGCAAGGAAGAGGACTGTCGGCCGTTGAATATGGGGAAAACTAAGTAAACAGTCTAATCCTATGTCTTATTATGGTCTAGTAAATGAATTGAGCGTTCAGCGAACCGTTAATGAAAGTGCGGCGGGAAGTTCGTTTATGTACGTTTATTTATTAAATGAACGAACATGAATAAAATTTTGTGTTCGTTTAATTAAATGAATGAACATGAACATAGGTCTCGTTCGTTCATTTACGTTCGTGAATGTTCAGTTATGTTCGTTTATGTTCGTTCGGTTATATTCGTTTATGTTCATTCATTTATGTTTAACTCAATCTTCTTAAATCAATTTTGGTGATCAATTTATAAGTATCTTAAAAATATTAATTAATTTGATGACCAATTCCATAATTAACCCAATTTTATTTGGAAAACCCAACAATATTAACATGATTTAGTTCTTTTTGAACAATCCATAAGCTACATACTCAATACCGTCAACATCCACTGTGCCAGAATCCTATGTGACTGCTCTACCAACTGGTTATCCGATGAGCAAAGTGGAGTCCTAGAAACATGTTGCTTTCGAAATCAAGTCCAAAAGTGATGGATTCCGGAAAGAATGTTAAGTATTAAGCACCGTTTCTTCTACTCAAATAATATTCTTTTCTTTCATATATAATGGAGTATTCGAATTTACAAGTAAATAGTGATCAACCAGCAATTCAAGTCAGCTTACTTTGAATTCAAGAACCCAATAACGGTGAGGCCTTATTCCATAGGTTGAGAAGTTCTTTAACGCGTTTCATCAAACAAATTTTGTGCGCCATCCGAATATGGAAGTTTAGCCAGCCGAGAAAGAATGTTTTTTGATGTATGAGTTGGTGTGAACAATAAACCAACCTACTTATCTCATCTCTCAATTTTCAACTTCTACATAGCACGAAACTAAGAACATGTTTGTTTGATCCCCAACGATTAAGGTCGGCAATCACATGAAACACAATCTGTGTTTATCTCGACTATTGTTGAAGGAGAGAGGAAGAAAGAAAGTGGAGGAACGTTATGCAATCCCACATTAGTAGCAAACAAGCAACTCGGGGTTGGTAACTTATATAAAAGAATATGGGAGAGAATAAGTTTAAGCATCTTTGCGCTTGGGGCAATGTCGAGTTTGAATCGAGCTTAGAATCGAGTTTGAATCGAGCTCAGAATCGAGTTTCAATCGAGCTCGAGTCTCGAGTTTTAATCGAGCTCTTAGATTTTTTTTGAGTTTGAGCCTTTTTGAGTTCGAGTCGAGTTTCAATATTATATTTCGAGTTCGAGTCGAGCTTGATAATTTTAAGCTCGCGAGTTTTCGAGTCAAGTTGAGCTGACTTTGAAAGTTTTCGAGTTCGAGTCGAGCTCAGCAATACTCGAGCTCGACTCGGCTCATTTACACCCCTAGATAGGGTCTCCAACGTTTATGTTCGTGTTCGTTTATGTTCGTTCATTTATTAAATGAACGAACATGAGCAAGTTATATTCCTTAATAAACTAACATGAAAAAAAAAAATTGTTTGTTTATGTTCGTGTTCGTTTATTTATTAAATGAACGAACATGAACATACCTCCGTTCGTGTGCGTTCAGTTCGTTTACAGGCCTAGTCGAGATTGAGGATTATGTTTTAGTTTTAGTTTTTATTTATTTGTTATGTCCTGGCCATAGCTCACGTGTCTGCGGTAAAGTCTACTAGTGTTGGAGGTGAAATTATTTTATGGATCCTTGAAGTTACGAGTCGTCTTCTTCTCATCGATCTCTCTAAAATAATCTGTCAAGGATTCAATTTTTTTTATTCTTCCATCGTAAATCCCAAGCTTTTCATTAGTGAAACCCTAAACACCTTCAAATTTCAATGACTTCTTTAATGGCATCTTCCATTCTGGACTCTGGTACCACCCTTCCATCGACTTCCTTCTTTATTTTCCCATTTATTTATTTTAGGGTAAATTACATCATTAATCACCATGTTATTATATCTATGCTACTTTGGTCCCCGACCGCTAACATACTCATTTTATTATAATGTGATAAAATATACTAATATTTATGTTAAACATACGTATTGAACATTTTCAAAACCCTAAATTAATTTTTGAGCATCGCAAACATTTGTCTCAATTAAAAACTGATTTCAATGCCCTTTTATCTATTTTAAAAATATTAATATTTTATCTTAAGGTTGTGGGTTCAGTATTATTAGGAGTAAAATTCTCCGCTAAGTAAAAATTATTCAAAACTATATATTATATACATATAATAAATTAGGTTAAAACAAAACCTTGTTTTTTTTTCTCATTTGTGGTATGTAATTCTACCTTTTTTTCTTTATCTTTGTTGATCGACAGTAACATTAGTTTTGGTGTTGATTGTCGTTCACTGATATTCTTTAATTTTCTTTTATTTTTATATCATATATTTTTTCTTTTTCTTTTTTAATTTTTAATAATTATACTTTTTAATACAAGTTTTCTTCTATCTTTTGACATGTTTTCATCGTTTGACAGTTGTCTTCGTTTATCTTTTTGCTGATAGTTGTATCTGACATCGCCACAACCGGTGAAGATGACGTTTATCTTTTATCATGTTGATCTTTCCTGCTTCGGACACTCAGATTGAATTTCGATACGAGATTTCGTTCGTAGATAGTTTTCTCACGTCGCTCAATTTTGATTTGCAATTTACCAGTAGTCTTTCAATAGTTTGATCTCCTTTTGTGATACGTTTATTGATGCGGTCAGATCTCTTCATATTTTGATTTGATTAGTTTTTTAACTTTTTCCTTGTGTAGTCATTGTGAGATTTTTAAGTAGCTAGTGCTTATACCAATTATTATAGAAAACATATTATGATTATATATGGTTGTAAACTTTTATTGTAATTTAATATATTTTTTCAAATAAAATTAACTATTTTATATATACAAAATTATGATATACGTTGTGAAACGTTGTTTGCTGCTAACGGAATGTGGGGAATTCTTGTAAAAGTGAGCTGTTGGAGTTTGCTGGTAAAGACTGTTGCATATCCCACGGATTTAGAAATAATTTTAAAGATGGATAGATATATTACTAATATAAAATTTTCATAGGTGTAGATATAAACAAAAAATTTAAATAGATAAAATCAATAAAATAGATAACGAAAAATATTCGGATTTCAAGATAGATACATTTCTATCCTAATTAAACTAAGGGTAGATCTATCGCTGCAACCAAATTCGTTGGAAAGTCTCGGACTAAATAGGGAAAATGGGGGCTTTACAAGTTCTTGAATTAGCACATAATTAGCTATTCGAAGAGATTACCTCGTCACTTGTCCAGCTAAGGAATTTAGGTGTGTTTGATGCATCACATAACAGGTTGCAGGGTCAAATCCTAGAATGGTCATTGTCGAACCTATCTTTCTTGGTGCAGATTGACTTGTCGTATAATGAATTAACTGCCTAACTGGGCTGATTCCACGGCGGGTCAGCTGAGTAAACTTCCAGTATGCTAATAATCCAGGACTTTCTTGAATGTCAAAGTGGAAAGAATCAAGCTCAGATTTAGATGCCAAAAGAAGTAGGAAACCTGCTGCTGTCTCATGGGCTGATCCCTTATCTCCATTGCATCTATATGCATTTTGATTGTATGGGCAATCCCGATGCGTGCAAGGTGGAGGGAAGCAGAGGAAGTCGAGTGGTTTCAAGCATTTCATGCAGTTACAGATCGAGAAAGAGAAAGAAACGCTTAGCTTAATATTACCACATTTGGTGATTCATGCAGTTCTTTTGATGAATCAGGTAAGAACAGGCGATCTGGTTCGGATTAAGGATAATGACAATGGGTTGGGTTTATATGAGGGATTAATGATGGTAGTGTTTGAGGTTTGGTGGGGCGACAATGATGGCGATCTGGTTCGGATTAAGGGTGGCAATGTTGGGTTGGTTAATGATAAAGTTGGGGTTTTGGATAAAGTTGGGGTTTGATGTTGTGATAGATGATCATGGTTGAGGATGATGGATGGAGTATGAAAATTGAGTTTTAGTCTCACTTTCTGCCTTGATTGACTGCGTAAGATGATAAAAGCTAAGATAAAATATATTCTCTGTCCCACGAAATTTATTTTTTTAATTTTTAAAATTGTCCCATTCAAAATGTCATATTAAAAAGTCAATAAACAATAACACTTATATTTTTATCCTTATACGTCTTAACTACATCTATCAAAATAAATGTCAGTCTATCAATTATTTTTTAGAGATAATTTTGTCATTTTCCTCATTTTATATAACTTAACATGTGGTCAAACTTATCTCCTAAAATATTGTGTTTAATCAACATAAGACAAATAACGAGACACATGAAGTATTAATAGATTGAATTGTTAGAATTTTTAAGAACAAAAGGTTAGATTTATTGAATCATTTTAAAGTAAGATTAACTCAATTAAATGTGTAATATAAATTGATATAATCAATAATTTATTGACAACACACACATCATACAAACATTACTACTCAAATATGTAACTTCTAGAGAGAATAACAATTCATTTTACCACAAAAGTCATATAATGAATTCAATTGTCATATTAGTCTCATTGTTACTGATTTAGCGAATGATTTTACCAAAATCAAAATAACAATTTAATGACTTGACTAATAAAAAATTTTGTTTTATAAATAAATTAAAATTGATTATATAATTTTATGACTAATAGAATAGCTTACATTTTTTGAACAA